AAAAAATTAAGGTGAATTTATTTTTTTTTTATATTTTACCGAAAGAGTTTATTAAAAATAAAGAAAAATAAATTTTTGGATGTACATGTTTAATTATGATGAAATTTTAAATTTTTCTTAACGGTAACGTAAAATCGTGTTCGTGACGTAATTCGAACGCGGATTCAAAAAAAAAAATTTTTTTGTTTTGTAACGTACGAAGGAAGAAACACCGTCGAGATTTTAAAACACTTATTATATTATTAGCAATTGAAAAATTAAAAAAAAAAAATAAAATGTCTTACTTTTTTAATTAGAAAAAAAAAATAAAAGTCTTCGAATTATCCTAAATTAATGATATATTACATGTGCATAACAAAATGTCTTCGAAGGTGAATCCGTAAAAAAATTTTTTTTTTGGTTATTTACAAACATTTGAATTATTAAAAAGTTTTTCAAAATGTCTTTCTTTTCTTTTTATTTTTGTTTCTAATACTCTTGGAATTAAATTTAAATTTAAATTTAAAAAAAAAAAGAAAAAGCCGTTACCAATTGAAAGAATATTATAAAAATATCACATTCGTAAACAACAATGATGAGATCAAAACGGTAACTGCGTAAAGCAAGAGGTACCAACCTATATTTTCAAACACTAACATAATACATAATTAAAACTTTTAAAATTTAACAATAGATGGCATTTAAAACGCATTTACGTGACGTCATTTTTTCAATTCTAAGTTTAACGGTCACGCAAAATCATTCTTTTTGTTAACACAAAATTTATTAAATGAACCCGAATAAGAATTGAAAGTGAAAACGATAACACGATTTAAAGTAAGTACTAAATAAACTACAAAAAATTTTATTTATAAATTCAACAATAATTTCTATAAAGAACCTTCAAAAAACAAATCAACTTTCACTTTGCGTTCTGTTTTAAACGACAAAAAAAAAAAAAAATGGTGACGTATGTGACATGATTTGAATGATCTAGAAAACAAAAAAAAAAATGAAATTGTTTTTATTCGTATACACTTTTGTTTTTATATAATAAGCACGAAATGGTAATTAAACCGTAAAATTTTTTACATAAATATTGTTTGAACTTTAAAAATATTTAAATTTTTTTATCTTTGGGTATAAATTATCCGAAACTATTCGATAAATAAATTTCTAACAAAAAAAAATAGAACGGGATTTAATCGTTGATTGATTGTCACGTAATTATTATTATTATTATTATATACCTTTTAAGTATATTGACACTTCCGGTTTCGAATTAATAACTTAACATCCGGTTTTCCATTCGTAATTTTTTTTAAATAGAAAATTTCATGCGCGTTTACTATTTTTATGATATTTCAACGGAAAAAAGGAAAAGAAATTTATTTTTATTTTATCTACACCTACTGCGAACGTATAATATACATTATTATCCAAGCGTGTTATGAGATTTACATAAAATTTTTCTTTTTTCCTCTTACGCACCTGCTTATTTTATTTACTATGCGTACATAAAAAATAACTACCCGTGTTACTTTAAACGAACGTAAAATTTTTCTTCGCATCCGCACGGTAAAAGCCTTAAATTTTTTGTTTATGCAACCGTAACTACATATAAGCATATTAAAAATATAATCAATTTATTACAGTGATATAAAAATTTAAATTGGTACTCAAAATAAAAAATAAACGAGAGAATGTTTTTCTTATAGCCCCCATTTAAGGTATTTAACCTATAGCCTCCTAATTACGTAAAAAACCAATTAAGATAAAAAAATTTGACGTGATTCATTTTTTTTATTTATTAAATAAAGTGTTTAAAGTTTAAAGTTTAATAAATGATACGTACGTAATATGTAAATAAATAAATAATTTTTTTTTGCATTTCGGTTTTATAAAAGGCATTAAACAAAAAATAATAATAATATTTCGATGTGGAAAATTCCAAAAAAAAAAAAATTTTATTTTTAGTCTTATGTACATACATAATTTTTTTTCTCTTATAATTTATATTTCTTAATAATAACGACCATTTTTTATTGTTAACGAGGTAGCTTTATTTTTTTATTTAAAT